TGAAACTCGAAGAAGAAGAAGAAGACATATTTCCAGAATTTGTAGATATTTTGTAGTCAAATTAGAGAAATTGTAGATAAATTGTAGAAGATTTGTAGAAGTTTTAGTCTTCCCAATCTACAATTCATCTACAATTTATCTACAATTTATCTACAATATATCTACAATTCTACAATTTAACTACAATTTATCTACAGTTTCTGGAAATACGTCTCCTTCTTTTTCTTCTTCTTCTTCTTCTTCTTCTTCTTCTTCTTCGAGTTTCAGTCTAAAATTCAGTCAAAACCAAGTCTAATCTTCACCAAAATTCCTCAAAATTGAGATAACTCCTAAACATATTCCGAATTATTTACAACAACACCCAATCCAAACAAATAATGATTTTTGAAAACCCAAATTTGAAGTCAAAGCTTTCAAGCTTTTTAATGGCTATCAATGGTGGAAAATATATGGAAGAACAAATGAAGATGAAGATGAAGATGAAAAACAGAAATCTCCTCAGAATCACACGCAGATCTGGTGCCTTCATTTTAGCGCGTTTTTATGGCAAAATCTACCTATTTTTGGATTGGTATATAATTTGTAGTAAAAGTGTGGACTACACGGGTAAATAANTGAAGATGAAGATGAAAAACAGAAATCTCCTCAGAATCACACGCAGATCTGGTGCCTTCATTTTAGCGCGTTTTTATGGCAAAATCTACCTATTTTTGGATTGGTATATAATTTGTAGTAAAAGTGTGGATTACACGGGTAAATAACAAATTATGAACATTTTTGGTAATAAGGTTTGATATATGGTATAAATAGGTAAAAATCCCAAGATAATAAGGCCAAAATCATACGTAGCCCCCTGAACTTGTGTCTCGATTTTTCTCTTGGACACCTTATCTAAGACTTGTTTCTATTGAACACTCACACTAGGTTCACCATTTACGAGCTCTTAAGCTTGCAGCGAAAGAAAATTTTAGAGAGAAGTAGGAGATACAAACTAAGAGAGAGAAAGTAATTTTCTCATTTTACCGATCTGTGTAAATAATGAGTTGTAAATGACTAATATAACCAAACTAACTAACCGATATGGTATTTTTGATGATGTGCACAGTGCTTATTTTGTAATTTATCTTATCTGGTAGTTTAGGCAATTTTTGATACCAAGTTGATGATCTTTTAGTGATTTTCTCATCTTCATGCAAAGCATTTTGTCATTATTTTGGCACATGGATTAGCATCAACCAAGATCAAAATATTTAGAAGATTTTGGAGCGTTAAACGAAAGCAATTTAATTTGAATTGCAATCATTAGAATACAATTTATATAGCAAATATTAAATAAATTACAAATTCAAATTTCCAAGTCAATGTATTTGGATACCGATAGTTCTTCATAGTTATAACTTATAAGATATATTTGATGATCTTGAACAAAATAACATTATTTTGAGCATGTAAATTTATATGAAACTTTTTATGGTACTAGATAGTAATCGGCTTTAAGATTTGATGTCAGAGCTATGTTTTGGAATATAATAACCACTTCAACTTATTGTTTTTGGTATCCCATCTGAGATATCTGATAAAAAAAAGAGACATAATATTTTACCAAATCTAGCAACTTAAATTATTGGACAATCAAAATTTCTCTTAGTCTGTTTAAACTAAATAAGTACTTAACAAAAGAAATAGAAGAAAATAAACTATAATCAGTTCCTTCTTATAAACCCAACCTCCTTTCTTTTTTGCCCCCTCTCAAAAAACTTGACTTTTTTCTTTTAAACAGAAAAGAAAAAAGAAACTATTTCAAACACTTTTATTTTATCAAACTATAAATATGATTAATTTATGCGGCAGCTAAAAGAAAATTTGCACGGCCTGTCCCAAAGGCACCGGTCTCGGCGGAATATCCCCTTTTGATTGGCCTTTAACAAAATATTCTCGCTTTTAATTTGAACATCATAGTTTTTCTATTTTTAGAGCTTGAAATTCTTGTTTAGTGGTGAAAAATAGAAGTTAATCCTTTGGATGTTGATAATCTATGCTTAAATTTTCAGTTCAAACATATAATTAGGTGATTTAATGTAACCCGGCGAAATACAAGTCACAAGTTCTGTGAAGTGATACTAAACATCTCTATACATCAAAGTCTAAATAAAGGGTAGGAAAATAAAAATAGTCTAGGTAGAAGGAGACTCCGAGGCTTGCGGACGTTGGCAGGTATACCTTGAAGTATCCAAGTACCAACTCAGCTCACTGGTGCCTGGTCTAGTAGGAAGTACTTGGATCTGCACAAAAAGATGTGCAGAAGTGTAACATGAGTACACCACGGCGGTACCAGTAAGTGCCAAATCTAACCTCGGTAGAGTAGTGACGAGGTCAGTTCAGGGCTCAACTGAAAATAATAAGAAAGCTTGACAAAACATTTAACAATATATTAACAATTGATAATGGAAACGAAAAAATTAAGGACTATGCCACAATTTAGCTACGCAGAATAAAGGCAAATAATATATCACGGAAGAAAACATGGATTTACATGTTAAGAAAAACAAAACAACCAAAGACAAGTACGCCAATAGAGAAATATCAACAAGGGCACTCCCAAGTTACCACCTTCGTAGTTCCAAATCATAAATAAATTTATAATCTTTCCTTATATCATCGCGGGAGCCTTCACATTTAGTTTTAAAAGCCATTTTTACCGAAATAATCTCGTGTTTTAACCCACCTAATCACATCGCATGACTTCTAGTAGTTCACCTACTAGCCACACGTATCAAGCCCACCTTATCTCACCGCATGCATTTCAACACTCAAACCTTATACCATCACATGCGTATCAAATGTTGTATGAGTCCACCAAACTGTAGAGTACATGCTCCTATATGAGATAATGCTGAGAATGCTATAAAAACTGAAAGTAAAGAAGACAAGAGTTTTTTACGTGGAAAAATCCCACACAAGGGGGATCAAAAAACCATGACCTACTCTTATAGGCTTTTAACTTCACTAACTTGCAATCTCACTATTACAAGCCATTTTGCAATAACCCTATTACAAAGACTTCAACTAGCTTGTGATGCTCTCACCACAAGCCACTTTATAACTCTCCTAATTACAAATGCTTTAAACTTATGACTATTCCTAGTCACAACATAAACTCGGAAGTTTACGGATTTTTGGTTTTTTTCTAAGGCAAAGCTTCTAAGAAAGCAAAATAGGAAATATAATGAAGAGCAAATAACAAGATTACAACTCAACTACGGATGTACATAAACTCATTAAGAAACTGATCCTTAGTGGAGTTGTCTTCTTGTTCTTGACATACTAGTGACTTCAATACCGGATAAACACTGTTATGCTTGAGAGAATATCACTGAATGCACAAAAATGTTGTTCCTTGCACCAGGTTATTATATCATAAAAGACATCACAATAGATAGTGATGTCAATTCTTGATACACGCTTCTTCCCAATGAGAAGTGACTGTTGTACTGTCTGCACAGTCACTTCTGTGCAGTTGTGTTCCAACTGGATAGTTGACTTGTACTTATGTTAGAGAAAACTAACACCCCAGGTCCCAGTTGTGTTCCTATTCTGTAACAGTTGTGAGATAGTCATTTTCTGCTGTTGTGTTCCAGCTGTTCAGTTGACTTGTACTTCTGCCAGAGAACCCTAAGGGATCAGGTCCTTGTTTTGTTCCTCTTTATAATGATTGCGGAAAGTCACTGACTTGTACTTCTGTCGGAGAATCCTAAGGGACCAGGTCACCAGGTCCCTGTTGTGTTCCTCTCTGTGGTCGTTCATTCATTTGCTGATTTTCAGACTGGTCCAGGACAGTTGAAATGTATACCTTGTGGGTCAGGTTCTCTATCTGGTTCTTCACAACAAGTTTGTTAGATCATCAAAACATAAGAATCATAAGGCAACGACATTGAAAACCCATCACAACATATCACAAATTGCACCCCAAGTGCCCAATTATTACCACTTGCCAAAGAAATCAACAATAATATTATTTTCTACAATAAGGAGCCCACAATTCAACCAAAATGTACACAAAATCTCAACAAAATAATCGGAAGTGAACAACTCAACATAATAATATTTCACTATTTAACATTTTACCTCAAGTGATTTACGGCATTTATATCTCAATACCAATTCAAACAATCAAATATTTCATATTTTAATAACTTCAAGTAAGGAGCTCAACATTCAATTAATGAGCACGGAATAAAGGGAATAAAACTTCAACTAAACAGGTATAGCAATTAGCAAGAAAAAGATAACGCAAATAGAACATATGAAAATAGACAAATGATGATGAATATAACATGATATTATAACTTTAATTAATACGTGACAGGGATTTACACAGTTAAAGCCAGAATTATCCACATTCAGCCTATGTACACACTTGTCACCTCGCGTACACTGCTTTCACACGTCACAATTTTTATAGTAACACCGATCCTAAGGGAAATTTTTCCACTCAAGGTTAAACAAATCATTTACCTCAAATTTGGCTATCTCAATCCACTAGTAGGCATTTTTCTCGATTATCTAACTCCGAATGGCTCGAATCTAGCCAAAATAATTTCATACTATAAATATAACCATACGAAACTGATTCGAATGATAAAATTTATGATATTTACAAAGAAACTAAAAATTCAACTCGAAAAGTCAACAAGGGACCCACATCTCGAAATCTATAAAAGTTACAAAATCCGAAACCTCATTCAACGGCAAGTCCAACCACACCAAAATTACTAAATTCTGATTACAACTCGGCCCTCAAATTTAGCCAAAGGGGTTTTCACAAATTTCTAACTTAAAACACCAATTAAATGATAAAAACAATAATGGATTCGGGTATTTTAACCAAAATTGAGTTAGGAATTCTTACCCCCAATATTTTCCTTGAAAATCTCCCGAACAATCGCCTCTCACCGAGCTCTAAATCGCAAAAATGGAAGAATGAGACGAAGTCTCGCTTTTGGACTTTATTCCGCTACCCAGAGATCCCTTCTTCGCGAACGCGGAAAATACCTTGCGTTCACGAAGCACAAAGTTTACTGCCAAAATTTCCTTCATCGTGAACGCGGAATGATCCTCTCATTCACGATGCACAAAAGTGCACAGCTGCCAGAATCCTCTTCGTGAACGCAAGATTGCCCATGCGAACGCGATGCACACTAAGCCAGACCTTCGCGAACACGGCCCCTCTTTCACGCGAAAAACGATCTCAAGAAGGAAACCAGTAGCAGCAGGTTCAGCAATTTTTCAAAGTTCTGAAATGCATCGAACATAGTCCGAATTACACCCGATGCCCCCCGGGACCTCAACCAAACATACCAACAAGTCCTAAAATATCATATCAATACGCTTGAAGCGTCACATCAGATAAAAAAATACTAAGACTATGAATCGCGCATCGATTCAAGCCTAAGGAACTTATAACCTCAAAATTCCAAAACTAATGTCGATTCATACCAAAACAACTCCGATTGATTTCAAATTTTACACACAAGTCATAAATGACATTACGGACTTATTCCAACTTTAGAAATTGGATTTCAACCCCAATATCAATAAAGTCAATTCCTAGTTAAACTTCTAAACCTTTTATGTTCTAACTTTCGCCAATTTACGCCGAAACAACCTACGGACTTCCAAATCAACATCCGGTCGTCCTCCCAAATCAAAATTACCATACGGAGCTACTGGAATTATCAAAACTCTATTCCGGGGTCGTCTATACAAAAGTCAAACTACGGTCAACTCTCACAATTTAAACCTTCCACTTAGGGACTATGTGTCCCATTTTACTCTGAAACTAAAACCCAAATCCCCGGCTTATTCCGAAACCGCAATATAACATAATTGAGGAAATAAATAGGGGATCGAGGCTAAAATCTCAAAATGACCGGCCGGGTCATTACATTCTCCCCCTCTTAAACAAACGTTCTTCATCGAACGAGTATAGAGACATACCTGAAGTGGTGAAAAGATGAGGATAATGGCTACACATATCATGCTCAGTCTCCTACGTCGCCTCCTCGACTAGTTGACCCCTCCATTGAACCTTTACTGAAGCAATGTTCTTCGACCTCAACTTTCGAACATGTATGTCCAAAATAGTCACCGGCTCCTCAACATAAGATAAATCCATATCCAACTGGACTGAGCTGAATCTAACAAATGAGATGGATCACCGTGATACTTCCAGAGCATAGAAACATGGAATACTGGATGAACTGCAGCTAGACTAGGTGATAGTGCAAACTTGTAGGCCACCTCTCTAATTCTCTCTAGAATCTCAAAATGTCTGATATACCTAGGGCTCAACTTGCCCTTCTTCCCGAACCTCATAACACCCTTAATGGGAGAAACCCGGAGTAAGACCCACTCCCCAACCATGAATGCAACGTCGTGAACCTTCCGATCCGCGTAATTCTTTTGTCTAGATTGGGCTGTGCGAAGTAGATCTTGAATTAATTTAACCTTTTCCAAAGCATCCTGCACCAAGTATGTACCGAATAGCCTATCCTCACCTGGCTCAAACCAACCCGCTGGAAAGTGATACCGTCTACCATACAAAGCCTCATATGGAGCTATCGGAATGCTCGAATTGTAGTTGTTGTTGTAGGCAAACTCTGAAAGTGGCTAGAACTGGTCCCAAGAACCTCCAAACTCCATCACACATGCACAGAGCATATCCTCCAATTGTCACACCTCCTTTTACCACCTACACCCTCCGGAAGAGGGTGTGTAAAGGAGTTTTTCTAATTAAAGATCGAAACGGGATTTATTTGTTTAAAGATTCAGAGTCACCACTTGGGAGATTTATGGTGTCCCAAGTCACCGGTTCAAATCCCGAGTCGAGGAAAAGGGTTGACTCTGTTTAACAGTCCGCGAACCAGAAATCCAGGTAAGGAATTCTGTTAACCTGGGAGAAGGTGTTAGGCATTCCTGAGTTCCGTGGTTCTAGCACGGTCACTTAACTGTTATATTCGGCTTACTTATCTGATTCTAAACAATTATGAACCTGTGTGCAAATTTTAGTTTTAACCGCTTTTATCCATTTTAAAGAAAATTGCAACGTTATTAAAACACGTCTCGAATCACGTCACATAAATGCACCCGTGGTTTTTGACATATTTTAACATTGTTGAGATTTGGATTTGGGTCACATAAATGCGCACCCGAGTTTAAAAAAATTAAGCATCGTAACTATATCAAGGGAACCGTACCTACAATCACGATGATTCATTATTAATCGCACCTAAAGCAAGCTACGATGTTCATAATTTTCCTAAAATAATTTGGGATTATTGTGAGGCCAAGAGTTATGGGTTTTATTTGTGTATGACGCACCTCAATTTATTTAACTTGAATAGATGAAAATAACCAGATTTCTCCAATTTTACCTAGAATCTTAAACACGATATCAACCACTAATTAATGTACCAAATCAGATTTAAAGGTTTTTAAAAAAAAAATTCTCATAAAGCACAAGGGAAACAAAATCGTACGTTATACTTCAATAAATTTCAACCAACATTTACATGGTCCATTAATGCTAATTCCCTTATTACTCAATTAATTAAATTTTTGTTTTTTGCAATTTCCTTGATTAACAAGAAGATGAAGTAACCAACATGAAACAACTAAGTGAAAATGATATCTACGATAGAATAATTAGCACCCATAACAGATTATAGAAATTTAACCATCCAAGCAAAATGATAAAGAAGAAAACAACGGACCTTTGAAGCCTTTCGATATATTAAGATCTTCCAACTTGTTACAAGAAGAAGGCGACACTATGGCTGAACACGAACAGACCGTAAGCTGAAAACTATGACGGAAATCTCGAACCGGCGTCGACCTCGGACACAGAAAAATGAGATGCTTCGTTGGAGTCTCAATGAAACTCGACCGCACCTGTTCGAACTCGAACACGACCGCTACCGTTCCAACACCCCAGCTCAAATTTAGCTTAAAAAAAGATTTTGAATTGTTTAATAGGCCCCTCCGTCTTTGTAATTTGTCGTCCTCTTTTCCATTTTGTGTATGAGTGTGCTTGTTCCGGTGAGCTCGAAAGTGGAAGAAAAATGGATTTTTAGGTGGGGGAGGGGTCTGTGGTTTGGTTGAAGAAGATAGACGCGAGGGGGTGGGGGTCGTGAAGAAGACGATGTGCAAGGGGGTGGGGTCCTCCTAAAGGCTGCGCAGCTTTTCTTTGCTGCTTTCAACTTTTTGTTCCCCTTTTCCGTTCCTTTTTTTTGTTTTTTTTAGTTTTTTCGTTCTCTTCCGCCTCTTCTTCTTAATTCTTTAGTGTTAAACATTCTTTTATAGTGTAAAGTCTAGGTTGTAGGGTTTTAGGTTAAGGGGTATGAGCCTAGGAATTATGGGCTTGACAATTGTGTGCTAGGTTCAAAATTAGGTAAAAATGCGTTGCTCGAGCCCAAGTTCTATTCTTTCGCCGCGAACAAGATTAAAAATATGGGCCCATTTGTTAATTATTCCTACTATTCAAATAATTATTAAAATAAAACTAACCATTAAAACAAATCTATTTTTGGTATTTTCAAATATCATATTAAAATAAAAATACGATACCTTTTTTTGTATATTTTTTAATGATTTTTTTAGATTAAAAATGACTACAAAATATTAATGAACCTATTTTTGTGATTTTTTGTTTTCTTGAAATAAAACTAAAGTAAAAGAGTCAAAATTACTTAAAATATCTATATTATGCCTAAATTAAATATTTTACGTTAATATATAAAAATTTTTGGGGAGGGTTAAAATCACATGTCTACACCAATATCTGAATAGTGCGCTTAGACTATTCGTTCGTATGAGGGTGAAATGATGTACTCAGCTCAACCCGTGTGCCTAACTCATGCTGTACAGCCCTCCAGAACTACAATGTAAATAGCGTACCCCTATCAGAAATGATGGATACCCGCACACCATGAAGTCTGACAATCTCGTGGATATAGACTCGAGCCAATTGCTTTGAAAAATAAGTAGTCAGCATAGGAATGAAATGAGCCCACTTGGTCAAGCTATGCACAATCACCCATACTGCATCATACTTCCTCTAAGTCCGCGGGAGCCTAACTACAAAATCCATAGTAATCATCTCCCATTTCAACTATGGAATCTCTAGCTTCTGAAGAAATCCACTTGGACACTAATGCTCATACTTCACCTGCTGACAATTTAGGCACCGAGCTACATACTCCACTATGTCCTTCTTCATTCTCCTCCACCAAAGTGTTTCCTCAAGTCTTGATACATCTTGGAAGCACCCGGATAAATGGAATACCATGAACTGTGAGCCTCCTGAAGAATCAACTCATGCAATCCATCTACATTGGGCACGCATAGCCTGCCTTACATCCGTAACACAATATCATCCCCAATAGTGACCTCATTGGCATCACCATGTTGAACCGTGTCCTTGAGGACAAGCTGATCGGGGTCGTCATACTGATGCTCCCTGATACGATCATATAGATAAGACCGAGAAACCACTCAGGCAAGAACTCGCTTGGACTCTGAGACATCCAATCTAAAAAACTTGTTGGCTAAGGCCCGAACGTCCAATGCTAATGGACTATTTACTATCGGTAGATATGCTAAACTGCCCGAACTCTCTGCCTTTCAATTCAAGGCATCGTCTACTATATTTTCCTTCTTGGGACGATACAAGATGGTGATATCATAGTCCTTAAGTAACTCTAACCACCTCTGTTGCTGTAGATTAAGTTCTTTCTATTTGAACAGATGTTGTAGACTCCGATGGTCGGTATAGATGTCACAATGGACACCGTACAAATAGTGCTGCCAAATTTTCAAGGCATGAACAATAGATGCTAACTCAAGGTCGTGGACATGATAATTCTTCTCATGTACCTTTAACTGTCTAGATGCATAGGCAGTCACCCTACCGTCTTGCATCAACACCATGCCAAGACCAATACGTGACGCATCACAATATACAATATAAGACCCTGAACCTGTAGGCAACACCAACACTAGGGATGTAGTCAAAGCTGTCTTGAGCTTTTGAAAGCTCTCCTCACACTCCTCGGTCCACCTGAATGGAGCACCCTTCTGGTTCAATCTGGTCATAGGTGCAACAATAGATGAAAAACACTCTACGATTACCCTGCCAAACCAAGGAAACTCCGAATTTTTGTAGTTGAAGACGGTCTGGACCAACTCTGCACTGCCTCAATTTTATTTGAATCAACCTGGATTCCCTCTCTCGACACAACATGAACCAAAAACCCTACCGAATCAAGCCAGAATTACACATTGAAAATTTTGCATATAACTTCTTTTGGTCTCAAGGTCTGAAGCACGGTCCTCAAGTGCTGCTCATGATCCTTCCGGCTCCGGGAGTACACCAAAATATTGTCAATAAACACAATAATGAATGAGTCAAGATAGGGTTGGAATATACTGTTCATCAAGTGCATAAATGCTACTGGGGTATTGGTTAGCCCAAATGACATCACAAGGAACTCGTAATGACCATACCGAATCCTGAAGTCTTCAGAATATCCAACTCTCGAATTTTCAGCTAATGATAACTAAAGCTCAAATCAATCTTCAAGAACACTTTGGCACCCTGTAGCTGATCAAATAGGTCATCAATGCGTGACAATGGATACATGTTCTTCACTGTGACCTTGTTCAACTGTCTGTAATCAATACACATGCGTATAGAACCATCTTTCTTCTTTACAAACAAGATTCGAGCACCCAAGGCGATACACTAGGCCGAATGAAACCGTATCAAGCAACTCTTGCAACTGTTCTTTTAACTCTTTCAACTCTGCAGGGGCCATACGATATGTGAAATAAAAATAGGCTAAGTTCCCGGTAACAAATTAATGCCAAAGTCAATATCCTTGTCGCACAGCATGCCCGAAAGATCTGCTGGAAATATATCTGGAAAATCCCTCACTAGTGGTGCACATTCAATTTATCGATTCGATTTTGACCCTTATTAATAATTACTTATCGATTATCGATTTGTACATATGATTATCGTTATCGTTTCAATAAGGTTTCGATTTTTTCGATTTCGATTTATCAATTTTTAGGGCTTATCGATTCGGTTATCGATTACACCAATAAGAAAATTTGCGGGATACCAATAAGAAAATTTGCGGGATTCCACGGAAATTATATCGCTATAAACATGCCTAACTAATATGGACAAAAAGAAGCTAAAATAAGACGATCACCGTTTATAACATAAAAATTGTGTCAACAAGCACATGCAACCAAACTAAAGTAAGGGATCAAATGTATGCCACCAACACTCCAACAGTATTAAAAAATACATCATCACAGCTAATTCTATTTTCCATTAATTTGAACTTCATTCCCTTGAGCTTTAAATATGATCATTCCTTAAATGTGATAGAGGAAATAATAGAGTTAGGGACTTAGGGTAAACGGAGGGGTATTATAGAATAAGGGTAAAAAACTTTTTTTGTTTTGTTTTTTTAGTATATCTTATCGGTTTATCGATAAATCGATAACCGAATAAGACAAAATCAAAATCGAAATCGATAACTCGATAAGGAAAATTTCGAAATTGAAATCGATAAATCGATAAACCAATATCGATAAACCGATAATAAATAATCGATTCGATTTATCGATAAACCAATTCGAATGCACACCCCTATCCCTCACTACCAGAATTGACTCCACGGTAGAAATGTCTACACTAACATCCCTTACGAAGGTTATATAAGCATTGCACCATTCTCAACCATACGTTGAGCCTTTAGAAATGAGATAACCCTTCTAGGAACATAATCTAAAGCACATGTCCACTCTATCTGAGGTACTCCTGTCATAGCCAACATCACAGTCTTAGCATGACAATCGAGAATAACATGATAGGGTGACAACCAGTTCATGCCCAAAATAATATCAAACATACCATATTGAGCAATAATATATCGGCTCTGGTCTCAAAACCACCCAAGAATAATTAAACACGACCGATACACACGGTTAACAACAATGGAATCTTCCACAGGTGTGGACATATAGATAGAATAACTCAAAGAATCATGAGATATACCCAAATATGGAGAAAAATAAGATGATGCATAGGAATAAGTAGAGCCTGGATCAAACAAGACTGATGCCTCTCTGTGACAAACTAGAATATACCCATGATAATTGAGTCATGTGCAACTACCTCAGTCCTAGCAGGAAGAACATAATATCTGGCTTGGCCTCCCCCTTTAGGCAACCTCTACCTACCTAACCTTTACTTTGAGCTAGCTATGCAGGTGAAGTGGCAACTAGAGCGGTAACCACGACCTCAAAAGTCTGAGGGCCCTATGGAATACATGGAGCCTGAGTAATCTATGGAGGTGCACCCCTCCTAAGTCTGGGCAATATCTCACCATATGACGAGTGTCACCACACTCAAAATAAGCACTCATAGGACATGGTTGATGTGACTGGCTCGGGCCTGATCGCTGAAAGCACCCCATGAAAGAGGTGAACTAGACAATGTCGGTGCATAATAGGGAGCATGTGGCCAGAATACCGCTGGAAGATAGAAGTACTAAATGAATAGGCCGACTCACATAACCCCTACCGTGACGAGATACAACTGGGGCACGTGCACTACTATATGTGCCATAATCTCGAGGCCTCTTGGCCTTCATCTCCTCTCTCTTACGGGCCCACATACCTTCCAATCTCCTGGCAATCTCCACTACTTGCTGGTATGCGATATCCTTCTCTAACTCCCGGGCCATGCTGAATCTAATGTTAGGGTTGCCCCTTGATAAACCGATGAACCCGCTCTCTGACATTAGTAACCAATGCTGGTGCAAGCCTGGACTAATCAGTAAATCAAACAACATACTTCGATATGGTCATAGCAACGTGGCACAGCTGCTCAAACTCTACGCCATGCATCCCTAAGATTCTGGGGAACAAACTCCCTCAAGAACATATCTGAGAATTGAGCCCAAGTGAGTGAAGTTGCCTTAGTCGGACTACCCTACTCATATGCTCGCCACCACTGATAAGCTGCTCCCTTAAGTTGGAATGTAGTGAAAGCAACCCCATTAGACTCTCAATACCCATATTACGGAGAATACAATGATATTTCTCAAGAAAACCTTGAGAATCCTCTGAAGCCAAACCGCTGAAAGTAGGAGGGTGATACTTCTTATAGCTCTCGGGCATAAACTGCTCCCCCTCAGAATGTGTTGCCCTAACCTCGGGCTGAAG